CACTGAAATCGGCTTTTCTATATCTTGCTCAAGAATATAGCGTGTTCTTCTTGAAGGACAAGTCTCATTTTAGAACTAGGTATATAGTGATTGATTTCAGTGCCTTAGAATCAATTTTCATGGCAAAGACAATACTTTGGGAATGTTTTCATTCGCCTGCTCAGTAATATATATCTTACATCTCCTACTTATATAACTAGGAATCATCACATTTTTCGTTACGAAGAATCTTGAACAAATTATTTCTTGAACTCTCCAATGCATGTATAGATACAAAATATTATACAACAGGCTGTAAAATTTTATTGATATTATGATATTTTCTCTTACTCACTTTCCAAATTTCCTTACATTTCGGAAAAAACATTTCCTTGCTTCACCAACTTGATTTTGATATATTTTGACATATTTTGATATGTTTTGAAATATGTACTGAGAAATATTATTTCTCCTTTGTTTGTATCAAACTCACTACAATCACTACATTTTGTACCTACTCAATCATTCATTACTTCAATTATTGTTTTTCCATCATTTTTTTAATTGATATTTGATTTGTTCAGTCTAAACCCACTAAACATGATACATAACAAAAATATTTTTCAGTTATAAGTTTTGTGATATTGTTGGAATAACATTGCGATAATGTCCTTCTGAAGTATCCAACACAATATTATGAAGTAAAACGTTTATGAGACATCGCATCAATATTGACATCGATATCATTAGATAATATTGTGATATATTGATTTTAGGTTTATCAGATATATCTCAGACAGAATTTGTATGTTATTTGTGCATCGTTTTCGTTTCACCACTTTATAACGTAGCTTACATGCATACAGGATACAAGGAGATGATATTTGTTCTTTTACGGCAAAGTAACCTTGTCAACTGTCAGAAGTCAATTCAATTCCATTCCAGCCATTTTGTTTGTTGTCTATTATGGTGAACAAGCCAAATAGTGTGATCAGTGAAAATATTGATTTTTAGGTATTATTCGTATAGTTATCAAAGTAAGTGAAGAACTAAACAAGTCTTGGACTCAAATTCGAAACAACAATGAATTGCTCATGATAACTACCTACTTATATTCCAGGTTTGCTCTGCTGGAATACAGAAATGCAACCAATCTGTATCTGCATTTCATAATATGTGAAAAAGTAGGAGGGATTCGTGAATACGGATTGTGTTCATATTTCACGAATTACAAAAATAATGGGTGAGTTATATATCATAGCTAGAAGAAGAACATAGAATAGAATTTCAAAATAATTCAGAAAACTCCCAACAACTCGTCTAGAAATATATTTACCAATTACTTTTCAGAATTTCAGTAAGGAATCACTGGATTATGCAGAAATCGTATAGCTGGACTGACTAGACTAATATGAGGCAGAATAACTGAAATGATACTTAGGAAAATAGTAGTCAATCTGTCTCAAAATATCACTGGGTAACTATAGATCATATATACGTATAGTTTTTCAGGAGTTCGGTTAGATCAATTCATATTCAGGGATAGTTCATCTTCTCTGATGTCTTTTCTGAAGATCATTCAGATGATTTTCTTGATGATTCCAGACAAAATAGACATAACCTAAAAACTCCTAGAAACTAATTAGAATGTTAATTTACAATATTGTTTAGATGTTTTGAGTTACATTAAATATACGTTATGAAGTAACATTGATTTTATGTGATTCCTGATATATTTATATAATATTTATCATCAACATTACATTGCAATATTTATACCAGGCACATACGTCGATTGCCGCAACGTAACTGTGATATCAAGCATATCTCTAAATAACATCACAAAGTCACATTGTAATATTACATTTATGTTTGAGTTATGTTATTATTTTTAGTAAGTGATATCTGTATAATCCCACTAAACATAATAACATAACTCAAACATAAATGTAATATTACAATGTGACTTCGTGATGTTATTTAGAGATATGCTTGATATCACAGTTACGTTGCGGCAATCGACGTATGTGCCTCGTATAAATTTGCAATGTAATGTTGATGGTAAATATTATATAAATATATCAGGAATCACATAAAATCAATGTTACTTCATAACGTATATTTAATGTTACTCAAAACATCTAAACAATATTGTAAATTAACATTATGATTAGTTTCTAGGAGTTTTTAGGTTATGTCTATTTTGTCTGGAATCATCAAGAAAATCATCTGAATGATCTTCAGAAAAGACATCAGAGAAGATGAACTATCCACAAATATAAATTGATCTAACCGAACTCCTGGAAAACTATACGTATATGATCTATAGTTACCCAGTGATATTTTGAGACAGATTGACTACTATTTTCCTAAGTATCATTTCAGTTATTCTGCCTCATAAATCAGTCCACTCCAGCTATATGATTTCTGCATAATCCAGTGATCCCTTACTGAAATTCTGAAAAGTAATAGGTAAATATATTTCTATACGAGTTGTTGGGAGTTTTCTAAATTATTTTGAAATTCTATTCTATGTTCTTCTTCTAGCTATGACATATAACACACCCATTATTTTTGTAATTCGTGAAATATGAACACAATCCGTATTCACGAATCCCTCCTACTTTTTCACATATTATGGAATGCAGATACAGATTGGTTGCATTTCTATATTCCAGCAGAGCAAACCTGGAATATAAGTAGGTAGTTATCATGAGCAATTCATTGTTGTTTCGAATTTGAGTCCAAGACTTGTTTAAATCTTCACTCACTTTGATAACTATACGAATAATACCTAAAAATCAATATTTTCACTGATCACACTATTTGGCTTGTTCACCATAATAGCCAACTAACAAAATGGCTGGAATGGAATTGAATTGACTTTTGACAGTTGACAAGGTTACTTTGCCGTAAAAGAACAAATATCATCTCCTTGTATCCTGTATGCATATAAGCTACGTTATAAGGTGGTGATTCGAAAACGTTGCACAAATAACATTAAAACTCTGTCTGAGATATATCTGATAAACCTAAAATCAATATATCACAATATTATCTAATGATATCGATGTCAATATTGATGCGATGTCTCATAAACGTTTTACTTCATAATATTGTGATGGATACTTCAGAAGGACATTATCGCAATGTTATTCCAACAATATCACAAAAATTATAACTGAAAAATATTTTTGTTATGTATCATGTTTAGTGGGATGAGATATGAGATATCTGTGAATACTGTTTTTGGGTTGTATTCCTTTTCGTAAATGAATAAATGAATGAAAATTTCCTTTTTTGCTGATATTTTATCAGATGATTAATGAAAAAATCAGAATAAAAATTGGACAATATACTAACTTTCAGATTCATAATCACGAATCTTATTTGACTCACCCTGTATATTCTTCTCCAGAAACTTTGGTATTTATATTCAGGCAACTTTTGCCATCGGATCACTTGCATAGCTAATTTTTATCCACTTCCGACAGCATAACCATTATCAACTTTAATTAAAAGTATGTGCATGGCTGAAATTCCACTCAAAGTTTCTACTACAACTTTTCTCGAAAAACAGAAAATGTGGCTTTCATGAATTCACTAAGTTTCTGTGGAAAAAGTCTCGGAGTTCGTGTTTTGTTGATTATTACTTCACCCTTAGCCATACTTTGTAATGGTATCGTCTGGCTGTAGATATTATTTCAATCGAATTCCAGTTTAGTACCCCCATTTTCATTGTTCTCTCCATGTTTTGAAAGAGTCCGATACGATGTTTCATATTAATCGAAATCATCAGAAGAACTCATCATGAAAAGTAATGATGATAATAATAATAATTATAATAAATACGTTTATTATATAACCACATATACTTTAGGCGCAGGCAGGTCAATGCTGTTAATGGAGACCTTGCTGAAATCACAGCCTGGGGAACCAACAACCTAGTTGAATTCAACGCCACCAAAACCCAAGCTTCAACTTCTCTAGAAAGGCGGAACTCAGTATGCCCGACATTGTAATGTCTGGCTCCACCATCCCCACCAAGCCCACCACGACTATGCTCGGTATTTCCATCAGCAACACTCTTTCATGGGATAATCATGTCAGATCCATCGCAAAAGCTGCTTCACAAAAACTCGGATTCTTGTTCCGTGCGAAAAGCTACTTCACACCTCAAGAGCTTCTCATGATCTACAAAGCGCAGATACGGCCTGTTCTAGAATACTGTTTCCACATAAGGGGTTCAGCACCAAAACATACGCTGATGCTCTTAGATTCCATCCAGAGAAGAGCCATTCGCCTGGTGGGTGACGCCACACTCACTTACTCTTTGACATCATTGGAACACCGTAGAAAGGTCGGCGACCTTTCACTTTTCTATCGATCCCACTAAACATGATACATAACAAAAATATTTTCCATTGGTAACTTTCGTGATATTGGCAAACTGATATTGCACTAATATAGTCATGAAGTTCAAAACACAATGTTTTCACCTACATGTTTATGTGACAGTGAAATAACATAAGCAATAATATTAATTATATAAGATATAACATGTTGATTTTATGTTTCCAAGATATTTGTCAAACAGAGTGGATATGTTATTTATTCCATGTTTTTACTTAACCACTCAAAAACATTACTCACATGTGTACAGGGGACTTGGAATTGATATTATCTCAAGAGTTTCTTTAAATGTATTTTTTGGGTTATTACCATGCCATTCATAAGATATTTCAACACAATCATATGACAATATATCGTAAATGTTGACAGAATCTCCAAATCTACACATAACTTGAAAAAATTATATCTACATTCAAACAATATTGTCCAGTAACATTTACACAATTTTTTGAAATTCGCGGGTCATATTAGTTCGCCAGAACAGTCACTTGTCACTTGTCTTGTTTCTTTTAGCGACAAGCGTCACCGTGGCGTCACCTTAATGGCTCCATGAATTGCTACATGCGATTTGTTGCCTCTTTGGTTGAATGTTGAGATTCATTTTTTAGTGAATTTTATTTTAGTGCTTTCGCCTTGCAATTTGCAATTCGTGATACGATATTCGTGCCAGGTGCCAGCTAGAAGTATGAGTGAAAAGGGGAAGGTAAATGTTGACAAAACATGTGGAGGCGATGATAAGGTGAGTTTCTATTATTATTGGTAAATTCCACAATACTTTTTATCTGGGAACATGTACGTATAAGTTTATACGTCCATGTCTGGGAGCTTCTGATTCAAAATAAAACACACCACCGAGTATCGTTTATCGTTTATGAATGTGAGCATTTCTCATACGAATTCAAATCATGATGAGAAACATAACCCTTTATTTAAACAGTATATCAAATCATAACTGACCTAACTGGAGCTATAATATTGGATATCATATCAACTTATTTATAGTCAACAACTGTCGAAAAACTGATGTATATTTCTATCTATACCACACTGTGTGACAATTGTTATGAAAGTTGGTGAATTTTCTTGTATTTTAAATATCTTATTAAATTTGTTTTTCCAGTCATCACACACTGTGAGTACAAAGATTATGAATTTGCTTTTCAGAAAAAAAAAAGAAAGATTTGTGGGATGAAACAGTATTCTCCCCGTTACCTCAAAAGGTTGATTAAAAAGGGTACTGTAAGGAAAGCTTCTGCTGAAGTGCACACATCTAAGGAGCTTATCAGTGATGAACATATTGAAAGTAATATACTTTCAGAACCTCAAACCGAACCAACATCATTTGCACTAAAACCATCAACATCATTGCTGTCATATCATTTGGAGCATAAGTCTGATCAAGAGATAACTGATTATCTGAATGTTAACACTAAACCTTCAGATGACTCCCAGAAGTTAGGGCTTTTTTCAAGTCATCTAAGAACATGGGCTATAGAAAATAGAATTTCTCAAAATGCTGTTTCAAAATTGTTGAAAATTTTAAAAAGTGATTTGAATTTGGTGGATCTCTCTTCAGATGCTAGGACATTATTAAAGACAGATAAGGCAAAGCATTCAGAAATCGTAAAGATGGGAGATGGCAATTACTACCACTTTGGACTTAGGTCATCAGTAATGGAAACATTACACAAATATCCACCCAAGTCAGATTGCACAATTCTGAATCTCCAAATTAACATAGATGGTCTTCCTATATCAAAGAGTAGCACTAGTCAGTTTTGGCCAATTTTGGGTAATATAGAAGAATGTAGTAGAAATTATGTTTTTCCAATAGGGGTTTACCATGGAAAAAGTAAACCTAGTAGTTGCACTGAATTTTTGAAGCAATTTGTTGAAGATTTTCAAGAGATTAATGAAAATGGGCTTCTCTTTCAAAATGAAATGAAAATACTGAAGCTTGCTAAAGTTCTTTGTGATGCCCCAGCAAAATCATTTGTGTTAGGTGTTAAGAGTCATAATGCTTACTTCGGGTGTACAAAATGCACAACAGAAGGAGATTTCGTTCAAAATCGAATGACATATTCTGATATTGAATCGAATTTGAGAACAGATGAATCTTTTAGAAATATGCTGGATGAAGATTACCACAAAGAGAAAACTCCTTTAGTGCAACTTGATGTAGGCCTAGTTACTCAAGTACCACTTGATTACATGCACTTGGTTTGTTTGGGCGTAATGAAGAAATTGCTTATGCTTTGGATAAAGGGTGATCGATCTGTAAGGTTGTTTCAGGAAGATATTTTGCAAATTAACCAGAAAATTACAAATTATAGAGAATGTAGCATTATTGAATTTGCACGAAAGCCTCGAACTCTTGATGATGTTGATCATTGGAAAGCAACAGAGTTTCGTCAGTTCCTTCTGTATTATGGACCATTGGTGATGAAAAGTCATTTGAATGAACAAAAATATGTACATTTTTTATCACTGCATATAGCTATGAGAATTTTAGGCAGTGACAAGCATTGTTATAAATATAACATATTCGCAAAATCTCTCTTGCGATATTTCATAGAAATGTTTGGGGAGATATATGGAGTACAGTATATTAATCATAACATCCATAATTTGATACATTTACCTGATGATGTTTTGAATTTTGGTGTATTCGATAATTTTAGCTGTTTCAAATTTGAAAATTTCATGTCGGAAATCAAGCGATCTCTTAAACCAACAAAACATCCACTTGCACAATTCGTCAATAGAATTCTGGAAAAAAATAGTCTAGCAGGAAAAGAATATATTGACGAATATCAATTGATGAATGAGCTTGGTGTTGGAACAGTTAATGAGCTACCAGTTATGTTCCACAAAGGTGTCAATTATAGAAACATGCAAATAACAAATAAAAAACCCAATTGTTTTTGTTATATTGAGTCTGGAGTACCAATCCAAGTAATTTCTATATTTGTTTCCAAGGAAGACTGTTTTATGCAATATAAGAGATTTTCAAATTATACTAATCTATTCCTGAAACCAATGAAGTCTACTGAAATTTTCATTGGGTCCGTTGGTCGTTTGGAAAATGATGTAGAAATCACCAGTGTACGGAAAGTCATGTCCAAAGCTTTGAAAATTGAAAATGTAATTATTGGAACACTACACATCCAATAAATTTCAATGATAAAACACTCTTATTCAGCTTCTGTATTTTTTCCAGTCCAATGCTGATTTTTTTCTATACATTATTTTTATATTGCGCCCTAAACTCACCTTTACTTTCAAAAAAGTTTTCAGAATTGGATATGTTTTACCTCCTGTTTCACTAAGTTCTATCAATACTGGATGTACCCTGAAAATCTTAAATTGCACAATTTAAAAATTACTTCACATCACACCTAAATAAATATTTTGATAACTACTTCATCATCAGTAGGTAATCTTCACCATGTGAATACATATACAGGGTGTTTTCTAATTGAATGTCATTATTTGAGGAAGCGATTCTTGGGCCCATTTTAAGAAGAAAATTTTATATGAACCTAACCTGACCTGATCATCTTAACTTTCGAGATACAGGGTGCTAAGGTTCTCAAGAATAAATAGTTTTTTATTTATATATGTAATATACCACTTTAGATATTCTAATGAAATTTGGCATTCATGTACTGTGTATCAAGAGGCATTAGTTATTGTACCACATTTGATCTAAAAAATAAAATCTATCTCTCAGCGTTGTAATATTGTCATATTAACGATATTGTTGTGATCATGCAGTGAGAGATCAAATTAGCTTAAAAATGATTGAGAATTTTGGAGATGATATAAATTTCGAGATTGATCAGTGGCGTACCATCAATGTCTGCCAAAATAGGTATGTGAAATTCCATACGAACGCCAGTGATTGCAACATACAAAAATGTGGTACACTAACAAATGCCTCTTGATACATAGTATATTATTATGTATGCCAAATTTCATTAGAATATCTGAAGTGGTATTACTGATATGAATAAAAAACTATTTATTCTAGAGAACCTTAGCACCCTGTATCTCGAAAGTTGAGACGTTTAGATCATACGTTCATATGAAATTTTCTTATGGGCCCAAAAATTCGCTTCCACAAATATTGACATTCAATTAGGAAACACCCTGTATAATATATACAATAATAACTTAGTTATTTAAAAACTTATATAGGTGTGAATAAGTGTGGTGAAGGGGTTATTGTGCAAGTTTTGATTAACGACTTTTGTTTTGCAATTTGTTCAACTGTCTTATCTACTAGATGTTAAAGAAGGAATAAAATAAAATACAATTCGATTTTTTCTAAAATATTCATAAAATCAGACGTGGAAAAGAGCTTAATTTTTATCTAAAATTTTTCCATGTCTATAGAAAAATTATATGTTGCGATAATAGACACCCCAAAGTGAACATTTTCCTGTTGGACTATTTTTTTTTTCAGTCTATAAACATATGGTACACCAATAATCAATTTCAACGATTTATTGTTCACTAAAATTTCCATTTTATTTGAATTTCTTAATGTTCTGCACTGGAAATTATCTTCCCTTATGTTTCATTCTATGCAAAATATCATTGGAGATAAGAATTCATCAAATGTCATGAATGACAAACTTATAGCAGATATTTGAGGTAGGCATTTCAAGAATAGACCAATCATACATATTTGATTCAAATTACTGTATATTATTCAATAATAATACTCATTGATTTCAGTATGCTGTTGTTCAATTCAAAGAAAACGATAAATTGGGAGATGTATCAGTTATTCCTACAAATTGGTTGGTGGATGAACATCTATGTTGGTGGCCAACCAATTCCAGAATTACGAGGACCCTCATTATCAAACGTAGCCTTCCCAATAGTGATTGGAGTCAATATGATTGTAACATTCACAATCTTTATGGTGAGATTACAATTGTCCATGTTCCAATACCAATTATTATCATTTTACTCTCCAGATTCCTACGCCAATGCTCTTGAACACGAAAAAAAATTAGCAGCCACATCAGAATCTGAAGGGGAGCAACGACCTGGAAAACGAAAGGTTAAACAAAAGAAAACTGCAGATTATGAAAGTATTGTCCATCCACCTTCTGTCTACTCTGACTTGTCAGATGATGACAGCTCTGCTAAGGAAGGAAGTCTTGGCGATTCAGGATGTGAAAATTTGGGTAATATTGAAGTCACTCAATCCACTGAAGATGAACTCAGGAAAAGTGAAAGTGAGTAAGAGAATTATTTCGATTCGATTGAAGTTATTTCCATTCAGTTCAACAAAATATTTAAATATCCATCAGATATTTTTCCTGGGTTATGGCATCAAAGAACATTTTTAGAACAGGTTTTATAGGTATAAATTATTAGGTTTCAAAATACATACATACAAACACACACTCACACATACATACATACATACATACATACATGAATACATAGGCACATACATAGGAACATATTATAATGAACCAATTTTTCATATATATTTGCAGTAGATATAATCTCTGCAAATAACAGATATTTTAGACTTGAAACAATAATGTGATCATTTTTACAGTTTCTGGCAAATGTTCATTTGTGAATTGTGGTACAGAAGATATCCCTCTCATAGAGCATCTGGATGATACTGCAGACGTAACAGTAGTAGAAAATCTACCAGTTGTGGTTTCGGCAAACCACATATCTGACATTATGGAAATGATTGCTGACATCAGGAGCATATGTCAAATTACATTGAATAAAGTAAATTCAATAGTGGAGCATTCACTACAACGTCAAATAAACATTGATTCCACTGATGATGCCATCAAAGAGTATTTGCCACTGAAAACAATGGACAACTTACTTAATCTGGAAGATCTCCTAAAAAACAACAAAACTGCTGCTGCTCAATTGGTAAGTGAACCCAACAATTTTTTTGTGATTACGTTGAAGAAAAATCATTGGGCACTTACATATTTTTTCCCTTTTTTTAATTTACTAGGAGCCTGTTGATATATTGATATAAATGTATAATGAAAGTATGTTTCACTTGAATTTTTTCATATAAACTATCTAGAATATGATTATCTCTTCAAAATTTTACATTTAATTAAGTTTGGTTGTCTTTTCGGTTTTTCTTTCACATTTCTGTCATTCTAGATGAACAAACTGGTACTTGTTGGAGGATCAGATTATAAAAATTTGATTAGGAGGTGCCTTCAACAAATCATTGAAGATGAGCTTGCCCAGTATTGTTCCTGGACGGGACAAAAACAAAATTTCAGAATTTCTGATTTAAAGATTATGGACATACTCAAACGTAAGTACTTGTCAATGATTTTTTTCTTTCATTTCCAAGGGCCAGTTGCCCAAACTCTTCTACTAACCTGGAGTTTGACGCTGCTAAGGCATGCCTTTTCTTAGTAATAAATAAATTGAATATTTATTCACCTGTTGAATCCTTTTTCCGATGAAATGAAATATGTGTTCATAAGTTCATAGCAATATTATTATAGTGGAATTTAAATTGAGATGTCAGTGTCATAAAGATATTGCAATGCTTTCCATATGGGAGGATAACTAGCAATGTTGCGAAACTCTTTAATCATACGTTCAGGTCCAACTCCTCTGAGAGAGTAATATTGTTGGAAATATTTGTGAAGGTAAAATAAAAAATAGTGCACTTTTGTATAAATCTTTCTGAATTATATAATTTCTGTTGGTATTTCTAAGTGAACTTAGAGTGGTGGTAGGATTGGCAATGCTGTTATTTACTGACTTCTCAATTTGAATTCTACCATAGTGATTTTGATTTTCTACAGCCATTAAATCGATTTGAGTTTCGAGTTACTATATTGTCACTAAATTTTCAGAATCTGTAAAAGAGGTATTCAAGGCAACTACTGACAAAGAGTTTGAACTTATTGTGATGGAATGGATGAGATTTGCCAAACAGAGGCTAAAGAGGAAGGAGTAGTAACGATCAAAGGCTGAAGGGGAAAGAATACAGAGGCTAAAGAGAACTATTATGTGATGAATTTGTTTCTTTTTTTTATGGAATATTTGTTTATTTTTTTATAGAATATTTCTTTAATTTTTTATGGAATATTTGTTTATTTTTTTATAGAATATTTCTTTAATTTTTTATGGAATATTTGTTTATTTTGTTATGAAATATTTGTTAATTTTTTTTTTGAGTTCCAATATATATTTATTTATGCAGAGGAATTTTTGATTCCATATCATATTCTCCCAATAAAATCAACTCAATATGTTACATCATCGTTACGATTTTATATTAATATTTTGTTTTCTCATATACAGGTTGGAGCAGATACTCATAGTATATATTTTTTCTATATATATATATACATTCTTGGGATTCCAGAAATGCATAAAAATAGAAAAAATATATACTAGTGAGTATCTGCTCCACCCTGTATATGAGAAAACAAAATATTAATATAAAATCGTAACGATGATGTAACATTGCACAAATGTTATTGCATAAACGTTTTGAGCAACATTAATTGATTTAGTAACATTACGTTGAAGCTATGCAAAATATGCAACATTTAAGTAACATTTATCATTGAACATTACATTGTAATATTTATAAGAGGCACGAAATACCATGGATGCAACGTATCTGTAATATCAAGCATATCTCTGAATAACATCACACAGTCACAATGTGATATAACATTTATGTTTAGGTAATGTTTTCATGTTGACATTTAAGTAACATTCATCATGAACATTACGTTGTAATATTTATAAGAGGCACAATAGACTATGTACACAACGTATCTGTAATATCAAGCATACCCCTGAATAACATCACAAAGTCACAATGTGATATAACATTTATGTTTAAGAAATGTTTTTATGTTTAGTGGGATACTTCCACAGGGAATGTTTTTCGGAAATCTCTGCTATCATCCCTTCACTACCAATGCCAGTCAGACGAACTAGACAAGCCCAGTCAGCACATCCTTTCGTTGTCAACCTCGAAAGATGTCGAACAGCACTTTATCAAAACTCCTTCATCCATAGAACGGCTAGGCTCAGGAATTCATTGCCTGAGGAAGTATTCCCAACAACATATAATCTCCAGAAGTTCAAAAAAAATTCCAATACCTACCACCAATATTGAGTAGGCAGATAATAGGCATAAATGGTTCAGAGTCCGGAAGCTGAACCTCTGAAGCTGTTCTTTCACCAAAGCCTACATAAGTTTATAATTATAGTGAATGGTCACCAAATTAGATGAAATATGTACATACTAGTTGAAAAACGTAGAAAGAGACTCAGAAGATAAGTGAGAAGAGAGATAAAATGAATAGAACGCGAAAGAGGAAGAATAAGAATAGAGTAAAAGAAATGGGAGTTTTATCAGGTCATTCACGACGATAGCTATATTGTAAGAAAATGATCTCTTGAACATTCCTTGGTGGTGGGACGGTATGGTGAGGATACTTTGGCGCCGGGTATTCAAATTTCGAACGTCAGTTCGATATTTTAATTTGTCATATAAATGACTTGGAATTTTTTTATGAACTTGAAGTAGAAGCAGGCAAAATGTATTTTGCGGCGATCAATGATGTTAAGCCAATGACATTCATTCAGTTTAGAGAAATTCTGTGGCTGCGTCTTATACTAAATACTGAATATCAAACGAAGGCATGAGTTCTGCAATTGTTGAATACGTTTTATGTCCACACTATCAAGACATGCTCCATAGACAATATATCGCAGTGATCCAAATGAGACAGAAGCAGAGATTCACATAATATTTGTTTCAAACCATGATTCAAAGATTATATCTGAGACTTTCAAGGAAGAATACGCTAATTGCAATTTTTTTGAGACATGCTCTTTGAATTTGAGTTTACTGTCAATTATGTAACTTGACGAGTAAAACATACTGTATACCATCGCTGGAATTGCATTATATTGTATATAATAAGACACAGGGACACATCGGAAGAACATTTTGGAGGAGGGGGAGGGGGAATGAGAGCATATTTACAATTCATTTTTCAAATTCACAATTTCGAAATTTCAAATTTCTAAGTCACTCACTTGTTGAAAAAGAAGCAGAAGCAGAAGCGAAATATATTCTCAGTATTTCCGTGCACGAAATTATGTTTTGTTCATTTCCCAACAAACTCGTAACAAAAATCCAATTTATTCAGGTAACGAATTGACATCGCGTTTATTTTCATTTCACGCAATTATAATATCGATATAGTATAACATAATGAACTATTTGAATCGACTTTCATCGCTATTATTTCGATATCGAAGTTATAATTGAGCTGTCAATATCGTTTAGAACGAGTTTGAAGCTAACCATCTGGGTCGATCCATTTTGAAGTGGAGTGATAAGATAATAGGGCAGGAAGAAAATCTTACAGTTAACTCTATCAAAACTTTACTTCATTTTGCATTGGAATTGGGACATGTTTCGAAGCTTCAAAGCTTCATCATCAGCAAAAACTATTTGTTACAGGAAGTACTACAATAAGAAAGACAAAAAACTACGTCAGACAAACATTCAGATAATGGAAGTCAAACAATCCTCACTTTTTTTTTTCAATTGTAATTCAATGTTCGTCGTGGCATATAGCCAGGAAAAGGAAAAGAATTGTTTCATGTTGAATAAACCGAGAAAGAATTGATGATATTTTCATTACATAGAGAACATACATACATATATGTATAATATGTCGGCGTCAATTAGTGAAATCCGTCATTCCCTGAAATACCTAGTCATTTCACGTATTGTCGGCAAACAGCGTAACTTTCATTTTCAGCCGTTACTCTGTTTGCCGGAGGGTTGAGGGAGAAAAATATCCTTTCTGCATATGCATAAGAAGGGAGACTATTCCTAAACAAAATATAACCAAACTCCGCCTAAATGAACCTTTTTCCTAGAATAATCATTTGTTTTACTAGGCAGAAAAGTAGTAGATTGAGTCAATCTACATTTGCTACCGTGTGAAACATTGAATTTCTTCATCAAATGATATAAAACCAATTTTTGTGTAATTTTTTTATTGAAAACCCCATCATTTCGTGTTCACCCAATGTCAGTGTCAATTTTTATTACTAATTTCATTAGAATATCTTCTTCTACCTAGGCAGTAAAAGTACACCTTTTCTGCCTGTTGAGCGGCAGGAAAAAGCCACTATCCCTGCCACTTGGAGAAAAATAGTTATTTTTCTGCAACCGACACAAAAGTCGTCCATTTTGATACCAAAATTAGCTGTTGAATTGACGTTTCTATTACTGACACAAAAATAGGTATGTTGCTAGGTAACATATTTAGTTCCTAGGAGCTAAAGTTGAATTTCAGTTCCTAGGAGCTAAAGTTGAACTTTAGCTCCTAGGAATTAAAAAGGATCTACTGGACGTCATCAAGAATAAACAACATTGTGACGGTTGGTTATTTGGGTTGAGAGGCATACCTGATTTGTTCCCGATTTCAGCAGGTTTGGCATTTCATACCCATGCTGGAGATATAAATACACCTTATTATAGTTTAGTATTGGAATTATTAACATCTCAGTTGAGTATTTTTGTTTTGATCAGGGAAGCCTTCAAGATTCAAATACTTGCTTGATCTGTATTTCATTCGTTATTCTCGGGATGGATAACTTGTTTTTGAATAATCACGGCAAGCAATAGTTTTTTGTCTCAAACAACGATATTGTTAACCTTCATTTGATTATCAAGCGACAAACATTGTATTACGGAGAGGAAAAAATAATTATTGCTATTCTTATTGTTGATGTGCTCACTAACCTAACATTTTCCAAGTCTTGTTTCTATAGCTTAGAGCACCTGGTCCATAGAAAAATATGTCACTCTGTGATTGTATTCATATTGAAACTACAATTCGAACATCCTTGAAAATTGAATGAACCTGCTGTTGATGCAGGTAGAATGTTCTCACCATCACACGGATTATTTTTCAATATTTGTTGCATTGCATACATATGGCACGGTATTGGTGGTAACTTCACATATTTATTTGAGTTATTTGTTTCGGTTGCAGAAAAAATAGCATGTTTCATTCGGATCAAAAGTGATTTTGTTCGACCCGCAAATTTTGCTTTCGCTCGGCTTAGCTAAACGCTCCGCCTCGCAAATGCAAAATTCGCTTGTCAAACAAAGTGTCACTTTTGATCCTAATAAAACAATCTACTATTTTTCAACGACTTGTTTGAACGTTGATATGTCGTGTTTTTTTTAATAAAAAATTTCGTCAAGATCCGGGCAGTTTCCACCTGTTTCAAACGGATATTTACGTTGAAATTAGTGGTTGAAAATACATTTTTGTACTGGTTGAAAATAACGTGGATGGATGATTCAACGTGATCAAAAAATTCCAATAAACGTTATTTCAACCGACCGTTGTGGTAATTTCACTACGTTATTTAGAATTGAGTTTGTTCACTGGGAAATAGGAGCTATCAAGAACAGTTTATACTCTTTTTCTTGGCCCGGAATTCTGATCCATGAAAGACATAAAGTCACTTGATCTCAACTGAAAGATATCAGCGTTTGAGAATTTGACGAAAAAATTATCATGGTGCAAGAAAACCCAGGAAGGTAGGAGAAATTTCAGATAAATATTGGAGCGTTTAGTTCAACCGATTGAATAATTGATATGACACAAAGGCTGCAAATATAAATTGGACACAATACTATACAATTGATACAGAGATAATTCAGGATATATAATGCCTTGTATTGATGTCGAATCATTTATTCGTCAAACAATTCAATCCATTCAGCCATAATATTCTTGCTTTTGAAAGCGACTGTGATTCTGAACAGTTCACCAGCATACGATATGAATTGTGTAAATCACATGAAACAATTTTATTGAAACATTTGTTCCCAGAAAAATTCCTCACGATATGATTCCGAGCAAGTCCATTACTTTTGGCACCCTGCACCCTCTACAGATTGTTGAACTAATGGTTTCAAGCTGCTGGTGACAAATTAGAAGTGAACATGTAACTGTTTCAGCGCTGAAAGGCGAACATAAAATGTGTTCTCGATTGTGAAATCGTAAGCAATATATACGGGCGAGAGGATAGAGAACAAAGTAAGTTTTCTCTTGTTATTTTGTCCTGCTCTCTAACTTTTTGTGGAGTTTTCGGAGCTTTCAAGTTAATAGGGCAAGCGGCGAGGCCAACGTCGTAACAAGGCT